ACTCTTGTGGGATTCTCGACGGCCTGAAACTAAGCCCGGGTCGATGTGTGAGGAAGTCAAAGCTGCCACGCGCGGGGTTGGATCGAACCAAGCGTGCTGTCTTGCATAGCGATAACTGACTTAGACTCATGTAAAGTTTGACATCGCTACAAAATCATTGAATCCAGTTTTGTATATTGACGGGTACGCCGACAAGAAGGGTTTTGTGAAGGTTTATGTTGTCGTTTGGGAACGAAATCGCCATAGCCCTCACTTGCCCTTGGACTTCACCTTGCAGTTGTAGCAAGAAGGTTTGCTCTTCACCACACTTTATGCAGCGCTTTCGACAGATAATACATCAGTCTTAGTTCTCTTACTATGCGTCCAACCACACCTCTTCGCCCGGATCCCAGTACCAGTTGAATAGGTTTATGCTACGTCTGTCGGCGAAAGGGATATAGGTTGGTTGAGATAATTTACCTGAAACGGAGGAGGTAAGCTTCGTCAGGATGGCTTTCATCTGTTCCTAAAATGATGACGTGCTTCCCAGGTCGGTAGATGGTAGCGAGACGACTTACAAGGGACACAATGGTGCTGGTGAGCCGGCCGTGGGTGGAAAGAACGGTGCCTGGAGTGGCCATGACTACTAGAGAACTGCAGACACCCAACTGCTGTGTTACCTCGTCTTATACCGAGCGCCGTGCAGCGGTAGTCAATGCCCCAACGAGAACAGCTGGCCGGGGATAGGCAGTTTTGAGAGGAGTATGCATGAGGGTGCGACGACCAGTGTGGTGCCTCGATGACATGGAAGGGCGTGGTGAAGGGCTTGGAGGGCACTGAGGAGATCGCCGAGCCCTTCTGGCGTCGTGCTTGCACCATGCCTCATGCTGCAGGAGCTGTGGTCGGTCGAAGTCGGTGCTGCATCGGGATGGGGAAGATTTCGAAGACGGCCGTTACAGCGACTGACAAACACCTCAAACGAAATGGCAAGCCCATCCACCCTCAGCCCGCCGCCGAAGGCAAAACCCATGACGGCCCCTAGTTTCAGCACCTGGCCCTATGAGGAGATCCCAGAATGCCGAGTAATGGCCCGAACAACGCCTTTGCAAATGCATCGTCGTCGATTGCCTCCGCAAAGGCAGCGGTCAACCGCGGCCTCGACGGGCTGTACGTCGTGAGGCCTCATCATGTGTGTCAGGGTGGTGCATCGTGATGCAGGGGCGAGGAGAGAAGCGTGGGAGCCGTCTCTCGTCTTGCAGGCGTCGTCATTTTTGAAGCCCACGGCTTGTATATAGCCCTGTCCGTCGCGCAGACGAGCATCACCGTCAGCAGTAATCCTCCGCATGGAATTCCAGGGTCGTGGTATTCCATGTGTGGGCTGTGGAATTCCGCGAGCATGGAATTCCAGGCTGGCAGATGCCACAAGACTGGTATGCCAATGGGTGAGTGTAGCTGCTTGCCAGTGCTGGCGGCCACATCGCCGCCAAGCTCGTCGGCACCCGGCCGCGACCCGGCACCAAAACGATCGTTCTATCAGCCACGTGTGTTTGATAAGTGTACCCACCCCATGCGAGGACATGATACTGGAACAACCTGCTCCCTCTTCCCTCTCATGCACATCTAATCACCACAGCTGGTAGTGGGCAGTCCGCACCAACATCCGTTTCCTGTGACAAATATCTCCACCGCCTAGAATAAAAGCAGTTGAATTCCTCAAAATAAAAGGATCACCATGGGTCATTGTGAATCTGCTTATCTTTTAGGTGCTTTAGGCTTGTCCGATTAATCAACTACCTAGTATCAGTAGGCGTTTTCTCATGTAGTGTACGTAATCCAGATGAACAGGTAGCGTCTTGCTCGCTGGGTATGGCACGAAGCGGTCATGTGAGCAGGGTCCTTTGCGTGCAGCACATCAACTTCCTTCTTTGCGAGTCTTCTGGGACATTTAGGCCTAACAAGAACCCCATCCTAATCGGATGTAACAGCTTTATAGCACGCAAAGTGTCTTTGACAACCTGCATCCGCAGAACGTCCTCTCAACCATGATCATTTGCTCAGCATTGCATGAAATCCATCCCCCGATTCGCCAGATTGCCTCCACTGCATCATAGCTTGCAGAAAGATTTTGCGAAACCTTCCTCAACGCACAATCGACGGAGGTCCCAAAAATCAAGAGGAGAAAGTGCATGACATGATCCGGCAGGGAACTTAGAAATGCCAAGAAGATCACGAGCAGTCCGACAAGGAACTTAAAAAATGTCAAAGAAAATCATGACAGTCAGCAAGAACTTAAAAATACAAGAATATCATAGGAAGAGCAGCGAAACTCAATCTATCGAAAATCTTCAAACAATGATCAAGTGCAATGCAGAAGATCTACAAGGCTTCGTGCAGAACTTGAACTAGTCACAAACGCGAGTTGGAAGGACTTATCCCAAAAGAACCTGCGGGTCTATTTCACGAGAAGCTGAAGGTCCAGTCGACGGGAAAAGAGATCCGCGTCTTCGCCCTCAGGCGAGAGATGAAGATGCGAGTTCAGATGAAGAACAGGCAAGCGTAAAAGGACAAGGACCGAAATCTGGACACGTCAGAGTTCTGCAGAAGATGAAGAAGACGCGAGGTCGAAGTAGGGGTTAAGCATAGGAAGTGGAGGTAGTGATATAGTGAGAATAGAGGTGAGAACGAGAACGGGAACGAGAACGAGAGTGGAAGTGAGAGTGATAGTGAGAATGGGGTGGGAGCAGGGCAGGAACGAGAACGAGTGAAAGTGAGAGTGATAGTGGAAATGTGAGTGAGTGGAAGTGAGTGATGGTGAGTGGGGTTGGTGATGGTGGGAGAGCAGGACTGGAGCCAGGGGCTGGCATCGATCATACAGAAGTTTCTGGATCGAAAACAACATGACGTCCCAGAAGTCAGATTATTTAGGTATTTCCAATGGTCCAATGGAGCCGGAATACTAACTCATAGAATTCATAGTTGACTCGTTCCATGACGCATTTCTGACGCCTCAAAGGGAATTGTGCGTTGCATCATTCGCTGGCCGGCAATGTTCGCATGGCCTGCATTGAAAGTGTAGACGATGGCCAATCTTTGAGAACAATTTCACAGTGGAGTCAGGTCGATATAAAGTTGATTAGCTTGGAAGGAGTGCACGAGACTGTCTATGCATCGCGAAGGAACCTGCCTCCTTACGCGACGAACAACCCAGCGAGCCGATGTTGGCCAGTGAGGAAGGCGCAAAGGCAAGATCTCCCGATCTTAGCACTACCTCATTGCTTCAACATATTACCGGGTTGTTCGCCGCGTATGGAAGGTTACCCCTCATTGTCCCGCTGGAGGGAGTGTCCGCACCTAAGGATCTTTCCCAATTCGCGCCCTATAAAAAGGGGTTTTTATTTTTCTGACGTGGCAATGAGTTTATCATACTATCAACATTAATGCAGCGTTTTTAGAAGCATGAAAATAGCCCATTTTCTCGGCACACCGGGTTTCTCGCTGCGTAGCGGGGGACGTTAGCGACTTGTTCACATGTGGAAAAGCCATTTTGTAACAATTTCCATAGAAACTGAGATGTACTAAAGAGCAGACACAAGAAGTGGTATTAACAGGCTTGGAAGTCACAGAGGGTCTAGAACTTCCCAATGAATTCGAAGCACCATCGACACACCTCACCACTATAGGACTTACTTCATGTTTCCTAGCAGTAATGAGCTTTCACATATACCTGCAATTCCTCAACTGTTTTTATAATTCCTCAGCAAATGCGTTTCTAGTTCATTAAACTCAGAACTTCCAGAACAAACACAACTGGGCGTTGCCGACTATCCCTAGCGAACCCTTTGCTCAGAGCTATTTGGTGTACTCTTCCCACGGTACGGGAACACTTATCCTTCAAGTGCTTATCGAGCGGCCTTTGATTTGCCAGCCTCAACGAAAGCACTCCCACTGCTCCGGATGAATCCTCGGCTGTACGTCGTAACGATGTTCTAGTTTCTGTACAGCTTCTCATCTATACCTGGATCTTGGGTATAAGAGAACACCATTTTATCTACGGCTCATCTTATTGTTTCGACTGATACTTCCACAGAATAGCATCTTTCATCGTTATCTTCGGACTTTCCCCCTTACGTTTGATGTCGATCAGGAAGTTGCGGTCCGCCTTAGGGTGCAGTCCATTGTTGCTATAGCTCGTGTCCTGAAAAATGGCAGTCCCTTCACCTTGCGCGTCTTGAATTTGAGTATATGATCGATATATGTTATCACGTCGCGGACCATGCCATATGGAATTACCGTTCTCAATTGCTGTTTCGGGTTTTTAAGATCCTTCCCTACTATCAGATACTTACCACTGCATTTTTGAGAGTTCCCCATCTTGGTATCTTCTCGTGGCCTTGGTGACCAGGGCAGGTCTCGACAGGCAGATGATTGATCAGCTGGTATGTGTTACGTCGCCACCAGGACGCGGATCCGTGCGTGGGATTGTTGTTGTGATCGTCAAAAACAGCTTTCGTCAACACTTTTTCCGCGCTAGTCTTGGCCACGGTATACACCCTACTGTCTCCAGTAAGCTTTATTGCTGTGCTGCGTCGTTTGGAACCATATAGCTCGGTGGTCAACACAGATTCAATTTTTGAGGAAAAACTGTTGCCAGAGTCATGTTCAAGTCTCAAAGGCCTTTAAGTCCAGCAGTTAGGTTGTGCTGCCCATCCCCTTGACCTTCATCATGTGGCGGCAGCACGGCGTCTGCGTAGGCCATGTGTTTTAGCCAGTAATCAGAGTGGACGAGACAGTATTCCTTTTCCTTGGCAACAATCACGCCTTTGTCGCCTTGCAGGGCCGGCGAGGGCTGCGGAGGCGCGTCCGTCACGGGAGATAGCATAGTTACTTCGCCGTTCCGATCGTTGTCCTGTTCTGTCAGATGCTAAGAACAGCGCTTCCAGCGGTGCAGTGGCAGCCCTAAGGAGGGCTCCAGGTTCGTCAGAAGTCATGTGTTTGTCAAGAGCAGCCTTTGTCCAACACTCTTACGCCTTATGGGCTGACCATATGTACACCCTTTCGTCTCCTTTAAGCTTGATTGCTGTGCTGCGCCGTTTGGGATGATATCGCTGGCTGGTAAAAACGGAATCGATCTTTGAGTAAAACGCGCTGACATCCTCCTCCTTCGTCTTCAAAGCTATTAGATCAACCTCGTCATCTTTACAGTGGAGTTTTGCAGTGTCTTTATTGACGTTGTCATGGTGGAGTTCATCCTTAGCCTTTTGGTAATCCATGTGTTTTAGCTTATTGCTAAAGTAGACGAGACAATTGTTGTTTTCCTTCCTGAGTATTGCGCCTCTCGCGCCTGGTACGGCCGGAGATGGCTGCGGGGGCGTCTCCACTACAGGAGATAGCATAGTTATTTCGTCGTTCTGATCATTGTTCTGTTCTGTCAGATCTTGGACGTTGTCGTGTTGGGTCTTCAGAGACTCTGCGGGCAACGCGGAAGTGCCCTGAGACGGACCCAGTGTGCGGGCCTTCTTCTCGTGCTCCTCCAGACCCTGCTTCAACAATTTTAATGCGTTGGTCCGGGAAATCCTATACGCCCCGTTCTCTCCCTCTTCACATTCACCGAGAGTTATTTCTGAGGTACGCCAGTTGCTCTTACCATACTTATCAGTGGTGAGCACGGATTGAACCTTCGAGGCGAAGCTGTCGCGGTACTTCTTTTGCAGACTCTAACTTGGTCATTAAACACTCTAATTAGATGCATTATTGTCAGAATCAACCTGCCATCCTCATGTCGACTCACGGCATCTTCGTAAGCCATATGTTTTAGCGAGTGAGGAAAGCGGACGAGACAGTATTCCTTTTCCTTGGCAACAATCACGCCTTTGTCGCCTTGCAAGGCCGGAGAGGGCTGCGGAGGCGCGTCCGTCACAGGAGACTGCATAGGTGTGTCATCGCGCTGTTCTTGATCACTAGCGGAGATGTCAACGTGCTGTAGACTCGAGGAACTTCCATTGTCTGAGAGCACATCATTAAGCTTAAACTTCTCAAATATGCTTTTGTTAGGGGTTGTCTTTTGCACCCTCGATCCTACAACCGAAGTCCGTGTGGCGGGTGGCATCGAGGTCTATTTGTGTAATGTGATTTCCTATCGATTATGCAACGAGTGAAAGTCTGCGCAATCGCACTTTAAGTACCGTTTGAGGGCGAGGCAAAGCGCATCCCTTCTTATAAAGATCATTCCCAAGCCGCTGACTGCTGACTACCCCAACTCCCACACGGTGGCAGCTTTTTCCTGAAATAGTGCCATCGCGCTGGCTGGACTAGAACATAAACGCACACTGCACACGTTGTAGCTTATTGTAATCTTGCGGATCACGGCGTAAGCACAATGTGGCATTGGCCGGCCAATATCAGCATGTCATGGTCATGTGGCCAGCAGCACGCATAAGCGGCTTACACCGCCCAGTGGGGTAGCAGTCTCGTGGCCGATCTGGTGGAATCCCATGCCGGTGGTATTCCGTGAGCCCATATGCTGGAACTCCTCCACTCTGGAATCCCATGCAAAGGTCGCTGCTGAGGGAACGACGCTACCCGGGCGCTCGACTAGATGCGTGCGGATTCAGGAACACGCAAGGCACCACGACAATGCTACTCACTACAAGACCACAAACTGTTGGAATCATCTCGGCCAATGTTCGCAGACAAATAGAAAGACACGTTGTCTTTTATATAGGAGAATGGTAACTTGTACACGCCCCAACGCACCATTTATGAATACTAGCTACATCTTTGTGCTCTATAATGGAATGCGGCACTTAGACGTGTGGTACTTGACCTGCGACCCTCCTACAGACCACTGCGCTTTCATCAACCTAGTGCGCATGGCAGTGCAGGCGGACGCCGATGAACGCATATTTATCTCGATGCTTCGACTACAGTTACCGTTCCCAACGATGTCCCAATCCACAGCACCCGGTATGCACTTACGCTGAGATGCGTCATCCCGGTTAGCACATGGCGCATCGTACCCTCGGCGCCGGCGGAGCAGTGCTGAGGCAAGGATCTATTTGCCAGAGCAAAAGCAAGCACTCAAGGGCCAGAAGAAGCTCGATGCGATGGAGCAGGCGACAGCAAGCCAGAGAATGGAGAACAAGCGCACACCCAGAGATGCCTCAATGTTGTATGGGCGCAAGACCGACTCGAAGACACCCGTCAGCGTAACATAGGTGATGGTCGCGACTGCTGCTGCCGCAATGGCAAGCATAGTATGCGCCTAGCCGTACATGTCAGTAAGCGGACGGACGAGGAGAATAGAAAGCCTACCAAGGAAACAATGGTCGCGCACAAACTATACCCTCTGCTACGGATGGCAAGTAACCCCGCTACGCATTCTAACACAGTCAGCGCCAACACGACTACGAAGGCGTAATGCGTCCATTCGACCGTTTTTCGGTACATCTTCATGCCCTTGGCAAATGGCTCACCCAGGATCTCCTGCACGCTTGTATTCTCCAGCTGCCAGACAGCCACAGGGTCGAAGTAGAATGGCAACTTCCAGGCGCTGCAGTGCGTCACCGTCTCTCTTCCTGTTTCCGTATCGGTCTCACCTTCGCAGTAGCTGAAGAGGCCCACTACGTAGAAGTCTTTGAGATGCCCGGACTTCGCTACGCTCTGGAGGGCGTCAGGAACCTCGATGCCAAAGACGCTATCGGGAAGGCTATCCAGCAAGCTCTGGGGACTTAGCATTATGCGGCTTGTGTCTGCCTATCTTTCGCTGTCAGTGTCTACCTGTACACTCCGCTAGAGGTATCGGTACGGGACAGGGCAAGGTACCTTGAAGAAGTAGAGATCTCGCTCGAGCGGTGTGCTGTGGCCGCTAGGAGAAATCTGCGCCAACGCGACGACGAGGAAGCAAACCAAGGACACGACTGTGAGCAGCATAGGCGTGGCAATGCACGAGACGCGCTTGATCTTACCCATCGGTGCGACGGTAACGGGCTACTGCTCGTACCCTAAGCGTCGAGGCCACGGAGTGCAAAGATACCGCAGCCACGGTCTTCAGCCACTATCGGTGTATTACTACCGCAGTTGATGATCGCGGCAGTATTTCAAGTATTGCAATGGTACAGTCAGACTTGCATTCTACGACGGACGTTTTTAGTCGCTCTATTATCGATACTAGACGGGTCTGGAGAAACTGCGCATCAGAGAACTTCCTCAGTGATTGTTGGACCGCAGAAGCGTGTTGGGGTAGGAACTTGCTGCGTTCAGGTATGGATATCGCTGCTGATAACGTCCAGCTCCAACTCGCTGCTGCTTACGCGTGCCAGGGACTTTCTATGACTGTAATTATCGAAGTAGTGACGCAGGTACATTGTCTACCCTGCACACATGTGCATCAGCATAATGCATCAGCACCAGCGCTGCCATCCTGCATGTGGCTGTGACCCTCTCTAACCCAGTCACAGAAATCACCTTGAAATGGCCCGAACGGCTTATGCCCCAGCCAAGTGAAAATCCCGCAGTTCGCTAGATCGGTTCACAAGTAATAGGATAACAGGCATGAACAGCGGGTGCATCCAAAGGTCTCGCCGCAGTGACCAATGTCACACCTGAGAAAAGGAAGTGAATAATCCGGATAATAGAACATCATTATGACAGAATGATGACAGTGATGCTGCACCTGTGAGACAGTGGTCTTTCATATAGGGAGTAGAAATCTCGCAGAAAGGTACTCGCAAGCGCCGTTTGCAGCCTCTCTGTTGAGCATGTCTAGCACGGATTCAGCGGATGATCGCCTGCCAGAAGCGTGTGGGGATACTTTTGAAGATCACTTTTCGCCCCTGGGTGTAGCTGGAATCGGCTCTTTTGGTATAGTCTTCTCCGCAACGACCAAATCGAAGCTGCATATCCAAGAGACCAGAACCCTGCAACATCGGGAAGAATCTGATGGCACGGGCACGCAAGCGCTACAAGCAGTTAAGCTGTGTCTTCCAGGATGTCCTTCGGGCATCAAAGGCAGTACTATCAGGCTGCTCGCCGAGATGGAGGCGATGAAACGCGTGTCGCAGAATAGGACAGAATCCGTGCGGCATCTTTTTGCAGAACTCTACGAGTACAACACGTCGAATGAGCCCTGGTACAGTATGGAGTTGATCCTGCCTGGCATATCACTTCAACAGGTCTTTGACGTCGCTAATGCGGCCTCACATCCCGTTCCTGAAGAGATAGTCTTTCATGTGGCTGATCAGGCTGCTCGCGCATTCCACTTCTTACATGTCGACTGCAGACTGGTTTGCACAGACATCAGCCAGAGCAACATGATGCTCCGTTATCCTGGAAGAGAGGTCCCTGTCATGCCGGACCTAGTCTTGATCGACTGGTCGTTCTGGGCGGAGGCTAGCGACAGGACGACAACTTGCGCCGTGCAGAACCTGTACCACTGCTTGTTCCCAGTATTCTTTGACTCGGGCTGGCGCTGTGGTCCACACCACGACCAGGACTCGTGTGCGGCCAGTGGTGTTCTCCACGGCTGCGAGTGGCTGGACTTGCAAAGCCTCATGGGCAGCAGGCAGAGCACGTTGAGCTCTTTCTCTGACAGCATACAGACGACGGTGAAACATATGCGAAGAGAGACCATGCACAATGCTGGGAGGGTAGAGGCATTCGGACATCTCCTACTGGCGTCCGCAGACACCTCCACAGCGGAGACGCAGGAAGGGTCTTGAGGCAGGACGTGGGAAGGTCGTAGATACACCCCTATGAGAAATGAATGCCTATCAGCTCGTGCGATCTCGTGTTGTCGGCCCGCGTTGTTGCTGAGTTGAGTCATCCATAGCACAGCGTAATCTCACACGCAACGTGAACTGATAGCAGCTGAGCTGTATGCGAAGAACGAAGGAGTGACAAATCTTAGAACTACTGTGGGATCACGAACCATCGCTCAGATCGCTATGACCCCAACGCTCGTCTGGTTCGAGAGCAGCCATCCCTATAGACAGACCTCGTTGTCGTTCTATCACCCCATGTAGCCTACTGATAGCCCTCGATAAGAAAGTGATGTACCCTGTATACCTTTGGCGCCACTCTGTCCCCCCGCAAAGCTACCCTCAAGACTGGTGCCGACACGTCCGTGGCCATATCGGGAGTAGAAGTTGGACCTGAATAGGGCGGTATAAACTTGCTGGCCTGCAAGGTAAGAAGACTACCCGGTCCCGGTGCGTCCGGTATCTTGGAACGGTCGACGGCCTCCATGTTGGAACACAACCCCGCGGTAACGCTCCATGGCATTTCCTCTTTGGGAGACAGCAAAACCAAGTACCACCAATCCTGCAAAGACCCATAAGAGGCCATCGTACCACATCCTGCTTCGTTTCAGTAGTTTTCAGAGTAATACGGCGGCAGACCTACTTTACTGAGTGCTCAGAACTTGTCCTGACTGCACAAACCAGGCGAGGCAGCCTTATGGATCCACGTGAGGCAGATGTGATCTTTAGCAGCATTTACCGTCCCAGACAAGCTCGCAATGGCGTCTACCGTAGACAGATCATGTGTACGGTAAAGAGTTAGGCAATTCAAAACACTAACGTTATACGAGAGTTTTGTTGTCAGCGATTTCGCGTTGTGCACCTTAGCAGGTATGTAGTGTGCCGGCGTAAGCTGCATCTGATCACCATAAGCTAGATGTAAGCCTGTGTTGCACCGCACACTCTCGGCACAATGTCCATAGCTCTCTACAGTGCTCTTTGGACCTGCCAAAGGTCGAGGCTTACGGGAAACGAGGCCTCCTAGAGAAGCCTGATGCACTACTGTAGTACTGTGTCAGAATAGTGTGGCTCTTGGAGTGAATGCAGCGCCTTCAACGGTGGAACGAGGCTCTTGTTCACAAACCCATCGCAATGACATACTACGCGATCATATATAACACCATGGATGCATCTGCCAAAGGCGATTGCGATGTCTTGTCTGCTGTTTCGTCCATCTACACAGCCCTACCCTATCCTCTTCGCCAAAATGCGGAACCAGATCTATTTCATGCTCTACGCAAGCACACCTGTGCATGAAGCTTCAGTTCAACGCCCGCACCAGAATCTTTCCCCGTTCACAATCCCCAACGCCTCGAGCAGCAGTACGCGTGCACTTGCGCTCGCAGAAAAGCGGGCGGGATGGGAGTATGGGCCATCGATTGCTGGGAACACAGCGTTCTACCCGGCAGGCTCCTTAAGTGGTCCTACCGCGAAAGGGGTGGCGGATCGCTTCAGCGACTTCCAAGATACAGTGTATGCCAATGTTATCAACGATTCTAGAATAGCCGCAGCGTCTATCGTAGCAGTGCGTAAGCCAAGTACACCCAGTGTCCAGTTCTCCCAACTAACGTACGCCAGGAGGGCGGGCTGAATGCCATAGACGACTACGCAAAGCTGTACAAAGGCCAGTGGAAGCACTCGGCGCCCAGAGGACCCTATCCAGGCATCTTGACGAACTACACAGACGACCTACTCTTCTCCATGACCCAGCTGTCCGAGAATCCATACCGAATCTCGCGCGTTCCCAAAGACGCACGACTTCCCTTCGCTGTCTCCAACGCGAAAGCGGTCGCTGGTCAAACATTGCCCTCTCTCCAGGAGGCTGGTCGTCTGTTCCTGACCGACTTCCTCGACCAAGCAAATCTGCGTAAGACTGCCGGCAGACATGGCGCTGCTTGTCAAGCCTACTTCTACATCCACCCAGTCTCTCATGACTTCCTGCCGCTCGCCATAAAACCGAATGTAGAAGGCTCCGACCTCGTCTACACACCGCAGGACCTGCCGAACGACTGGTTGTTGGCGAAGATGATGTTCAACTTGAACAGCTTCTGGCATGCACAGTGGTATCATCTTGCAGCTACCCATGTGGTGGGTGAGATTGTGTACCTGAGCGCTATCCGAACACTGAGCGACGAACATCCCATCATGGCCATTCTCCATCGACGTGAGCCCCACCACCTAGCTTAGAGTTCCGAATGAACACTGATACCATCTGCACAGTATTCAAGGACGCTTGGGCGTTCCGAGTCGTGGCTGTCCAACGCCTGCTCAACTCCGGTGGTCCCATTGACCAACTGTTCCCCTGGAACAGTAGCGAAGCAGGAAACTACACCGATACGCTATACCAGACGGGCGAGGCTAGCGCTTTCCAGTCCAACTATTTCGAGCCCAATCTGCAAAGACGGGGCTTGATCGACTCTGCGTTCGGGCCCAAAATCAAGACGTTTCCCTTTTACCAGGATGCCTCCGCTATCCACGCCGCCATCCGCCGTTTCATGGCCGTCTTCGTCCAGTCGTACTACCCAAATGTGAGCGACATTACCGGCGATGTTGAGCTGCAGGCATGGGTCAGGGAAGCCGAACCTGCCAGGATTGTTGACTTTCCCTCTTCCATCGAGAACCAGCGCGCTCTCATCGATGTTTTGACACACGTTGCGCACTTGGTATCCATTGTACACGGCACGCTCAACTCAAACGCCCTCGTCGGTGCCTCGGGCTCCCTTCCTTTCCACCCTTTCGCATTCTACTCGCCCCTGCCGACCTCCAAAGTAGCCCACGATATCATGCCTTTCTTGCCACAGGTAGAAGCTTCTATTAGCCAAATCGCCTTGGCGGCAGACTTCAACCGCCCCAGTTTTGTCGACAGCAACCACACGATCGTACACATGTTTGACAACACAACGATGCTGGCGAGGATGCCCACGGGTGTGCAGAAGGCGGAAGCGGATTTCCGATCCGCGATGGAGCGCTATAGTACGGCCGTGAGGAGCAAGACTTTTGATTTGGGTGGGCTGTGTGGAGGCATGCCGTACTGCTGGTCAACACTAGATCCACGAGCAGCGGCTTACTCGTTGACTGTCTAGCATGCTACTTTCTGCACAGGCAAATCAAGGGTTTATCACCATGACATAGCTACGTAGTCTCAGAGCCTGCAATGACAGCAACTTACAACGGTGGACTGCGTGCACTGGCAAGCTATAGAGAACGAGATCATCGCGTAACACGATGCTTCCCAGCTTTACGCTCAAAGAGGCTTCGCCCACGGTAGGAGTGGGGTTCATCAGTTCCATAGAAACTATCCCTGATCTTCAAGATCCGAGGTGCTCTCATTCGCGTTCGACCCGTGCCAATAAATCTCTCGGGGGCTGCTGCTCACCCACTGGGAGCGATGTCGATTATGCTCCCGTCTCCAGAAGTGCTGCCATGTGGGGCATACTCTAACCTGATCCGGTAAGTCTACCTGTATCACGACTTATTACTCTCACGCACGGCAAGTTAGCGAGTTTGTCTGCGACGGTTGTCATATCATGGTAGCATGAGAATAGACCTGTTTGATTCCAGGCTGACCATGAGCCACACTGTGTGGACGTGGCTACAGTATCGATTACATCGTTGATCTTACGCTCATGCCTGACTCTCCTGATGCTCTTCCCCTGTCAGCACTAGCTCTTGTCAGCATGGGCCTGTGTCAGCCACAAGCCTTTCGGGTCAGGGCGGTTTGCGTAAGGCGACTAATGTCCCCTGCCCGTAAGCGAGAAATGCCCCTCAGCGAGATGAGCCAACTCTACAGGCACCTCACAGTTCCCCATACATTTCTAGAGATTTGAAACTGCGGTGCATCTACATTTTATCTCTAGTGCCACATTGCAGCTGAGAAAATAGGATAGTTGGGGTCGAGCTGTGACACCAAGCGGAGGTCCATTTGACACAGAGATAAGCTCGGAGTACATGTTCTCTAAGCTCAAGCATCTTGAAAATCAGGGGCGATATGCACCTCGGTTGCACCTATCGCCGTAGCAGTTGCAGATTGCGGGAAATGGGGTTGGTAGTGATTGAGTAGGGGTGAGACCAAAAGTGGTTCCTCAAGCAGCGTGCGACATGGGCTGTCGTTGCGACCACAATCACCGTAATTTGATTATCACAAGGTGCAGGGCGACAGAGAAAGACCCGAAGAACAAGAGCGCATACGCTGCAAGTCCATAAGTGAGTGTGGTGAGCATTGGTTTGGATTGAAGTTGTATTCGTCTCGCTGAGGGACATTTCTCGCTTACGGGCGATGGACGTTAGTGCATGCGCGTTCGCCGATGAGACCCCTCCTTCGCTGTGCAATCACCGTAAGCCAGATGTTTGCACCCCATGCTAAGCCCCTCTCGCTCCATGGCGATACGCGCTGGCGCAAGTCAGCTATGTTCTGCATCGCCTATCTATGTATTTCCCGCACCAGTCAATGTATGATGCTTACCCAGTGTAGAGCCGTGCTTATACACAAGCCGAAGTGCTGACGCTTGTTTGACGACCGTGATCGGCAACGCTCAATAGCCGGGGCTGCACAGGTTCGAATCTTACCGGCAGATCTACTGTAAAGGTCTCATCACATGTGTCTGGGTCAAGGTTAGCCTGCGTTCAGGTCTGCTGTGCAGCGAGACAAACGCACCGGGGTTGTAGTGAACTTCTCTGGCGTACAGTGTTCCCTGAAGCCCCCCCTGCCTAGCGACACCGTCGCATCTCTCACTGCTCCTCCAAAACGTAAAACGTTTATATTTCGTGTCCTTGTTCAAGAAACGCGTGTAAGTGCACACGGTCCGGAACGCACAGCTGTCGCAGTCGCAGCCACATTTCTTCCAGCCCTGAATCGATCCACAATGCATGCACATTAGCTCTAAGCAGCTGACCCACTCGTCTCCTCTGTCGGGTGCATTTCTCACGAGCCTCGTCAGACGACCAGCATGCCAGCAGCACATCCTCGACGGGAGCTCGAGCACCTCTACCTCTGAAGCTTGTTGAATGTGAGAGCGACGAGTGCAGATTGGGCTACTCGATGAGCAGAACATGCTGGTTGGATACTCTGTGTGACACAAGATGCACCACTCTTGCGTAGGCTCAGGATCTGGGGGCGCAAGGTAGGTACGTATTGCCAGACGAGCACATTGCGAGATCTTGTGTTTCGGCCATGATTGCGGGTCGATTCGTAGTCTGTCATTGATAGTTGGGTGCGTCAGCTTCAGAGCGAGTAGTCCGTCCACGGGAAGGTAAGCGCAGATCGCGAACAAGAGCTCTTGCGGTAGAAACAATATTGGCGACATACAAGCGGAGGGAAAAGCTTATGCTCCGAGTACACCATCGTGATGTGGTAATTATATAAAGAGGAGGGTGAGAAGGGACAGGTATCAGCCATCGCAGCTGTTCCGCACCCCTGTTAGCATTGGTGATGCCTGGAGAGCAGCATCTCGCCACCAGATCAAGTAATCAGTGCCGCGGACGACAACTGCATGACAACAATGTCTTACCGTATTCGCATCTATATCCTGTCATCTATAGCTGTTGCTAAGGCTCCGGCTACCCTTGGAGATACCGGACAACATGTGCCGTTGTCAGTAATTACAAAGCTCCGATTCCATACGTCTGACTTCTGCGAAGACACCAGAAACAGCGTGCCAGAGTTGGTTGTTCTCAGGCCGGGATGCTCTGGTACCTGTCGCTGAATCAACACTCAACCATACTTTGTGCTTCACTCTGACATGTCTAGGGCAGCCGAGCCTGCTTCTTGGATATGGCTTTGTTCACTGGACGCTATGCCAGCATCGTTCGATGTGGTAGGACCGCACACGGCACTTATTCGCAGCGTCATCTTGGTGGTTCCACTCTTGTGGCGGGTCATCCATCCCATGTTCGAAGTGAGTGTAGAAAGCATGCACGCGGAAAGGGGTCAGAGCGTACACAGTCTCACGTCGTCTCCAAGCAACGTCGCTTACCTGCCGGCAGGGGCGAGTCGTCTAGTCGTCTCTTCTTGCCTGTAACGCTCGCAGTGGCGTGCACATCTTCGAGCGCACTCCATTCGAGCATCTGTAGATCGATCAAGGTTTTGAACGTTAGCGGTGAAGCGCTTATAGGATGAACACGGTCCCCGTGCAATCTCAAGCGAACGTCTAGTTCTTCGTTGAGCGAGGAAACGCGCAAACATATGGGTTGGCCAAAGTTCCCATGCCGATCGATCCACGTTGACATGGCTTGCCTTGAATCACACACTTGCATCTGGATCTGGAAGTTAGCGTCTAGATAATCGAGTTTTTGCATCAACGTGGAGAACGCGGGACTGATCCCGGGGATACGACACCGAATCAAGCCGTAACAGGTGTAGGAGCCACGCTCGTAGATTGGCATGCGTCCTGGTCGTAGCTCAAAGTAGAAGCTGAGAGCGAGTGCAGCGTCGGCCAAGTCACGCACAGCCGAGTCCGTCGTAAAGTAGGAACGAGCTGCTTCAGCGAGATTCCCCATGGCAGAGGCGTCAGCTAAATCAGGTAGCTCACCTTCTACGGGTAGGTTGAACCGATGGAGCCATCTATCTACGTTAGCAACCCCTCCGGGCAATGATGCAGCCAGAATCTGGCGCATGAGGGCGAATCTCTTGTCGCCATCGAAGTTTTCGCTCCAGTAGTGCTTGGCAGTCTGCTGCAGAGAGCTGTTTCCGAAGAGCAGGCTGGGGTAGACGTCGGCTTTGGCAACCTCTCTCGTTGTCGAAATGCCTGTTCCTACGGACACGAAGTGGTCAGCACGGCTCAGCCTAGGAGCCATCTTCTGGAGTTCTTGTACGGCAAGCATGCAGGGTTGTTGTCGCTTAGCCCTCCGTCCATGAATGTGCCATGGCCAGGCATCTTGTGTGGCGTGAAATACCTATTGCTGTCAGGCGTCAGTCAATCGGCTACCACTTATAGCACTCACCAGGGAGCCGCCGATGTACATCGTGCGCTGTGGCATCATGTTAGCATCAAAATTCTAGATAGTAAAAAAGCAACTCACGCATCCTTGACGCGTATCTCATCGGCAACATCTTCTGAGCGCAAGACTCGATACGTTGACATCTTTGTACATGCATCGTCACCGTATTTGGGAGCAGCCCCGTTGTAGCTCGTCACCAGACACGTGTCCAGTGTGTCGACATCGACAACGGGAAGACCGACTCGTGCCCCGATCGAAGACATGTACTCGAGATCCAGCATGGTGGCTTCATCGAAGATCTCCATCAGAGCGTCATCGATGTCGCTGGCAGGAAACCGGCCGTTGCGACACGAAGTGATGAGGGCATGGGCTGTGGCAGCAAGTCCCAAGCCAAGTTGGCTCCGCCCGCGAAATATGCGTGTTGACAGCTGGCTGAAGAGAGTAAAAGTCTCCTCAGCTCGCATGCCCAGACCGTAAAGCGCCAGAACCACCATCGCGCCTGTACAACAATGAGCTGGCTGCGGACCAAAGAATACAAACTCCCTGCAGCAACGTACCTGAACTCGTTCCGTAGGCAAGATCGAAGTGTTCCTGAATCGGCATATCGAGACCTACTGCTTTTTCGAGCGCGCAAAGGAATTGGATGGGAATCGCAGCGCGGATACCACCACCGTCAATAGATAGCACTCGTAAACCGGCAGTGGCAGGCTTCGTGCGCACAGTAGCCTGGCAAGACTGGGAGCAAAAGGGGCAGCAGTCCAACGTGTAGAGATAGGGATCCATTTGGGAACAGCTTCCCACACTTGTGAAGCACCTCTCGCACATCATATGGCCACACGTGAGCTTATGCTCTGGGTCTGCTTGCATGCAGGCTAAGCAAATCCTGTGAGGCTTTCTCGCCGCGAGCCAGGGCTGGAACTCTGCTAGCAGTTCCGCGAGCGGATTGGTGCAGAGCGTTTTACTTCTTTGCACGAAGCGCTGTTCGATGAGAGAGACCAAATGGGTGCGAAGCAGCAGCACCACATTATCCTGGTGTCTCGGAGACTCTAGGGTTTTGTTCACAGCTGCGTCCAGACAAGCGGGCTTGTAGTGAGCCGAGAATACCTTGAGTGGGTCGAGAACTCGTCTTAGTTAGCATATTGAAGCTGTTGGTCTGCACAGGATACTGACTGGGCACGTCGTATGCATAGTTGTCTATCACCAGACAACCTGCAATAAATGGAACCGCAAACTCCGTCATATCGTCCAAGCTGTCTACCGAGTCGAGAAGAACGCTCAGATACGTCTGCAAGCGCGCGGTTACGGGGCGGTGCGACCGCGACGCAGTGACCATGTCGAACGGGTCCCGTCCGCTGCTGACAAAATGGTCGCAAGCTTGACGGAACAGGAGATCAAAGTGCACGGCGTTCAAGAGGGTATAGTCGCGAACGCGCTCGTTTCTGGCAATGTCTACTTCGCGTTTGATCCGATCTGTCAGCGTCTGGGTGCTAGCATGTTTAACGTATACAGAGAGGCGGGAAGACAAGTCAGATCTAGGCTGTTTCAGTCGCGTGTGCAAGAGATCTATCAGCTGGCCCTGTACACTCGCCTCGCTCTGCTCTTCAGAAGGTGCCGCTACGAATAGTAGTCGAGGATGCACTGTGATGTGAGGTCCTTGGCTGGGTGTCTGCTCGAGCCATGGTATCATGCGATCGACCTGATGGTGTACATCACGGCTCCCCGTGGAGAAGAAACACACCACGTCTGTGAACGGGCGGACCAGTCTACAGTGTAGACTATCGAAAGCCTCAGCTAAACTATCCACCTGCCACTGCAATGCACGTACCGTTTGGCGGTGACAGGGAGCGGCCATGGGCTCTGCTACGGACGTACTCCGCTTCGAGATGTCCTCGTGTGCAATCAGCATGGGACGGTCACTGAAAGCAGTAGCGGAGTCTAGTTGTAAAGACACTCCGTGAGTCGACCGACTGTTCACGCGTTCTCTGGTAGCGGGGAGAGCATCGGCTAATAATGTTCCCTTGCCAGCATTACCAAGCATGACGATCAGACTCGGGCTCTTGCTGGCAGGCTTGTCGAGGCTCGCGACTATATCGTTCAAAGTACTAGCACAGTGGAACAAGATCTCCTTCTTCCCGTGGAGAGACAGCCAGGACCCGTGCTTGCAGCTCTTCATGGTTGTCGGACCACGATGGCTGACCAGAAGACGTTACCAATAAGGTGATTATTAGGCAGACTTGGGAATTGGCAGGTCAGGGTAGGTAGTAATGTATTATATATCGCCAGGAGGAGGGTCGAGATGACCAAAGAGGTGATGACTCTCACGACTGCAGGAACGAAGACGTTGGCTCGCTTGCTGTAAGCAAGCATGACGCGTAAGCAGATTACAGTCTGTCGAATTATCATCAAAGCTATGCACATGGCAGATTGATATGCAGTCTTCCAGAACCAAAATGCCTTGTGTCTTCTGCCGAAAGTCGAGAGAATCACAGAGCCGCAGCTAAGGACGTGGTTGCAGGGGTGGAGCCTAAAGCTCGAGAAGATCGGCAGTAGACTCTAGTACGCCCTCTGAAAACTGGGCCGTCCTCCTGCATACGCCATGTTTTCTAGATACTGCACGGCCTTCTGTAATACGCAAGTTTACCCATTGTATTGGAGATTACCAATAGAAGGGTGGAACCTGACGTTGATTATTCTCCCACGGCCGTCATACGTATGGAAGTGAGCGTTAGTCTCCCCAACTTGAAGTCTGATGGGCATGAAGATCTGCGTTGAATCTAACTAACCTATTACACATCATATCCCAGTTGTGGCGCGACTACAAAACCTGCGACAAGACTCTGTCGCCAGATGGCACCCCGAGTGTTGATGATCAAGCACATCCCGGAAGCCATACATTGTTTACTCACCAAACGCAGCTCGGATGGATTTCCCATGATTGTCTATCACGGAGGCGTACCAAACGAAAAGCAGTGCTTAGGTATATGGTGCTTTCTGTACGTGAGATGTGCTGGGTCCTGTAGACCTACATTTCAAAGAGTGTCCGGGTATGACAATGCTTGAGTGAGAAAATTAAGACTATCCCTATACGGGTAGAGACAGCGGGTCCCGCGTTCAAGGACAAGAGCAGGAGAGAAGATGAATGACTGATCAGATAAACATTGATGATGGAGGGGATGCATTGGGTCCAGAGCCTGGATGCAATATCTACGCGCGTGTTTTCTTCAATGCTGATATCAGTACAATTATGATAGCGGCACGTGCCGCATGAAAGTCTGACATAGCTGATCCGCTCGGCAGGCATTCGAGATGTGGTATGATAAATCCTTCACTTTTTGCTCTTTGCATCGGAACGTGGCTCTTCGCAACGACGAAACCCTTTGCCCCTGTGCGATGTACCTGGCCACTGTCTTGTCACCCTCTGGAAGCTTGTCGGTGAGATACTAGAGATAGCACCACTGCTGTAGTCGTTATCTGAACAGTGATTCTTCTCATGTCTTCTTCCTTTTGACGTATGTCGCGCGACTCCGCTAGGTATGCGCAGCACGGCGGGCATCTATTGAACGGCCTTGCGATTTTCAATGATGACCTCGACTTGAGAATAAGACATACTTGCCCCTTCGAACCTATGCAGCGTTGTTATCATCGGTGGGACACCGTGCAGTACCAGATGCATTTGCGAGGGCAGACAAGAACGTCGGTCGCATCAGGAAGGGTGCTAGTCGCATGAGCGTTCATAATGAGTTGAACACACTATTGGGGAGGAATCTCAATCGAGGGCAGTGGTCAATTGGCATGGCGGTACTTACGTTTTTTCTGCATCCCAACAACAATGGGTTTCACGGGCATGGTTTGGAAAGAGGGGCACAAGACCGCAATTCCCACCGCAAACGATGAAGTGGTCATGACCCAAAACAAGACAACGCTGGGATACTACAAGGTCAACACATCGCTGGATAAGCTCTGCCGCATTCGGTTCCTGATGAAATACTGGCTCTGCCCAAAATTGTCGATCTGAATGATAATGGAGTAGCGGCAAAATTAAAGTAAGGCATCAGTTCAAGATGAGTCAAAGGGAATATGGTTTCGTTCTCTGCTACGAGCCGGCGGTTACTACAACGGTAGAATCACCCAGATAGACTGTAAAAGAAAGGTTCATTGTCTAGACAATAAAGGAACAAATGTTCTGTTACAAGTAACACGAAGGATTCTCTCCTTGATGGGGGAAGTGGGTTGAAGGTCAACCACATCCACATCAGAAGCTAGAGGCCATCGCGGGGCTCGGAGTCACGTGATGTGCCATCCCGCCAAGGCTGGCCATCCGGGATGGCAGCGCATAAAGGGATGGCAACGCCCTCCCAAACCTCCCGCCAAGATGGGATGGTTGGGATGGCAGGTATGGATAGCAATGGGTATAAGAATGTGTTGGATTTCATTATTACACTCGTTGTGGTCAACTCAAATAGTTCATCTCTTACACAGATTGTCAACTAGTTATTCTATCGCACGTAGAATTGGATTGTCTTTACCTTTTGGTTAACTTCGATAACTCTTTTCCACACGAATCGCCAGACAACCCGCACGGCTTACCGCTTTAGTCTACCTCGCCTTAGTACGGACCGAGCTTAGAGAAGTATAGCCTAACCCCGTGTAACATGTTCGCAAGAGCTTCTAGTTAGGCTTGGACATGCGTCTACAAAAGGTGACATAGATCATCGTACCAATCCTGTTTGTAACCGCCAAACCAGAGATCCAATTCCGCCTTGAAAAGGTCTCTTGCCTCCCACTGGTCTTTTGGGATCACGTCTTCGTGACCGCTCAGCTTGTCGTGAACCCAGTTGGACAATAGTTCGGGAGGGTCTGACTGGAAAAGCGTGCTTTTCGCGGTGTTGTTGATCTCCGTAATACAACCATCTCTTTCCAGCCAAGTGTATGTCTCGACTGCCCGCCGTCTTTCGTCAAAATATTGATTCCACTCTTTTGGAAGTTCTTCGTTGCCCTTGCGTACACGCTCGCGTGCAGACTTGTAGATATCCTCGTATTCAGTCAAATGGGTGCTTCGATCCAAAGCGCTTCGTCTGAGACAATGTTTACCCATGTCTCGAAAAGTCCAACCTCTTTCTTTCATTTTCACGATGCCTTCCTCAGCGTGTTTATGCCTCGGGTCATTCCTAAAGTCAAGCTTCAAGCTTATTCCTTGGCTTGTGGTGTCATAGTATAGGTGGCCGCCTTGGGCGCCGCCAATGAACGCCATGGGGTGAGTCGCGTGGTAGTTGAGGACGGTGCGTATGATTCCATATTCCCGTTTCCCTTCTTTTCTTTTCGGGGGTATAAGCATAAGCTGTACTTGCTTCTTATTCGGCAATGTTCCCCGAAGTATCTTGAACGGTCCATAGAGCTTCGCAAATTGTGGTTCAGTGTCCGTAGGTTGCGATTCAGTCTGGTTAACGTGGAGTATCGTGTTGAGAAGAGTTTCGACTTCATCTCTCACCCATGGCGCTCGGTCGATCGCCTTATAACGGAGCCATTTACGCAGCATCGGTTCTGCATATCCTTCAGCTTTCCAGGCATTTTTGACTCCTTCCATTGATTTCTCGTCAGGAATTTCTTCGAGTAAGTCCTCGTCATCAACGCTGGAATATTTCCGCAGGGTTTTGAGTAGTTCGGACACGGGCTCGGTGATTGCCGGAGGGAGTTTGCGAATGCATCGGTTCGAGTCAGCCCCAGGAGTGTATACCCATAACCTATTCTCTTTCCAAGTCGGGCCGGAACACATTTTCAGAGCAAGAGTGAACTGGGCTGGGAGGTCTTTGTACTTTCCGTAGGACTTTGATCGTATCAATACCGATTCCAGATACTCTTCAATGTCCTGCTGCCTCCCCCAATTTCTCCCATGAAACACACCCACCACAAGACGATCGATTTCTTCCATTGGGATCACGGCTAGCCCATGCGCAACCACTTCCTCGTCGATTTGACTCAGGAGAAGATTGTGCCATCGTATACGAGCAAAGTTGAGGACAGAGACAATGTTAATAAGAGCTCCTTTGTCTGCAATCTGATAAAGGTCGAAGTCCGACGTTTCGTTGTGTGCGCCGCCAACGGCTCTCGACCCACTCAATATGGTTCCGAAGTCTGCAAACGCGGCAAGCAGTGAAATTGGCCACGGGAGCAACTCTTTCAAGATAGGGAGTGGGTCTTTGTGGCCGTCGCCGCGCGCTGAGCTTAGCGACGCTGATGTCGACGTGGCAATTTTGGTTTGGTCGTGACCACGCTTCGTCTTGGGTTTGCGCATTGAGTCTCGACGTTTGAAGCAAAATCAAAAGCGAGAATAAACAAAGGATGTTGCAACGTTTTGTGGCGGTAGTGAATGCTCTGAGTGCCAGTGCGGAGACGAGTGAACAACCGCGCGTGTTAAGAGTTGTATGAACTGCCAGCGATGACCTAGTCCAAGACACAAGACACTATACAGCTGCAATCCCAAGATTCTCATGATCGCGGTCGAAATCATAAAGGACATCAGCAGTAGAACGGGTGCTCTCCTCTACGATACTGAGTGAGATCTTGTATTTGCGCGTTGTCGTGACCGCTGCTACGTCCATCGAGTAAGCTAGATGTCACAAGCGGTCCCTGTCTGCCGATCGTGAGATGGGGTGTCACATCGATTACCCAGCAACCTCGGCGAACTACGTTGTTCGAAGTCTTTTCAGCGACACACGCGAGGCCATAACGCTCATGCCCCGAAAGCATAAGTCTCACCAGAATCGCTGTCCGGATCTCGTATCTCGTGGATGCTGACCGAATAGTCCCCTGAGAATGCGCTTACACCGCTAGGTTCAGCCCTTTGCGACCTAGGACGAAGCAACAGCAATCATTTGCATGTTCCGGGTTCTGTAAGCAGCCGACCCTGGACCCTACGTTGAGTTTCTCTCGCCTAATGATGACCTCACCCAACCAGTGCTAGTTCTTGTCAGCAATGCCATGGGTCGAAATTCTCCTCGACGGCCAATTTCTCTCAGATCACCACGACAGATCTGCACTCGTCTGAGACAGCCTTCCTCTCTTTTCATCGTCTTACACGGGAATTGTCGATCATGCAGCCACCACTGGACAGCTCCAGTACAGCGCACACTATGTCGACCATGCGATGTCAGCAACAACGAACGTGTACTGTACTGTGCAGTAAGACACTTTGATTACATCGAGCAATACTACGCATGCTCTACATATGGAAGATCGCTGGCTCCCCACGTGACGCAGACCCACAGCCACTGATGAACACAATAGACGTCTCTGAACGAGATCGCTATCGTTGGTCTATCGTGCCGGACGGCTGGGGGTCGACAGTCTAGATACCCTCTGGGACTTTCTGTTGCAAAAGAGAGACGCGTCCGGCGAGATTCCACCACACCGATGGGAGCCCTGGCGGCAGCGGAGTACGCTTGACGCAAAGATCCTTGACAGCGTCACGCGGAAAGGATACTTCCTCGACGATCTTGAAGGCTTCGACGCCGCCTTCTTCGGCATCTCGCCCACAGAAGCCGGGCACATGGATCCGCATCAAAGGCTAGGCCTCGAGCTTGCGTACGAAGCGTTGGAAAATGCAGGTATCCAGCCGGACAGACTCGCTGGCAGTGACACTGCCGTGTACATAGGGGTCGACTCCGACGACTACTCACGTATGCTCCGTGAAGATACCTACAGGCGCCTGCGACTCCCACTCTGGACGCTGAACTAGCTTCATCTTGTCTCGCATAGCGAAACGGTGGCTACGTCGGCTGAGTGAATTGGACAGTAATCCAGAGACTAACCATAGTCTCCACAAAAATGATCGAGGCTTCGGGGGGCAAAAGGTGCCCCTGTCGACCTCCAAAATGCGCTGTGCCGGCTAGATGTGGTGGGATCTGGCAGGACATGGAATCGAAGTGACGTGCATGCATACATGAAGCGATCTCCCGGATGGGATGAGGCGGAGAACACTGTGACGAAACATTTGTTCCAGGCCCAAATCAAGCTGCACTCTTGAGACACAGGCAAGGCAACACCTTGACATCGACGTGGACATGAAGCATCGAGCAGGATTCATTCATTTCTTGGCGCAAACGCTATGCTGTTCACGGGACCTCCGCCATGGAACCATCGCAGCAGATGACCGCTCTCGGCCATTTCACTGGACGGTCACAATGGCGGATAAGGCTGGTGAGGAGCCGTTACTGAGCGGGCTCCGCCTTCGCCAGCGCTGCAACAAACTGCTGAGAGTACGCTGAGTCGACAAACTCGTCGAACTTGATCACTTTCCTGCCGTCTTCCGTAAAGGTCAAGATCAACGCATATTCGTTCGCGTAGGGCCCAATCTTCGTTTCCGCCTTGCTAGACGCGTGTATGATACATGTACGCGTCGCAGCATCGTGGATCTCTTCCTTCACATCGACCTGCAGCTGTTAGTCAGGTCATGATCTAGGGGGGCGGGGCGCACTGACGGTAAAGTTGGAGTACAGAGGCATGATGGCGCTGAGGTACGCGCGATATTCAGCGTTGCTCTTGGCAGCCCGGTTCATAGAGGCCGGTAGCACACGGTGCTTGCAATCGGGCGACCGATAGGCCATGATGTCGTCGATGTCCCAGGCATTGTAGGCTTCTATGACCGCCCGAGCTGTATCTTGCTGAGCCGCCAGACTGCAAGTGTTAGGAGTGTAGCAAGATTGTGCCAACGTCTTGGCGAGTACGGATTTCACGTTGTGGAGGGTGTGCTTGTGATAAGGACGTACTTCGGCAGGGGGATGGTGCTGGCATTGGTGAGACATTGATTCAAGTTCAAGCCGATCCAGACATCGCTCGACTTCGATTTGGTGCTTGCAAGCGGCTGAGAAGCGGCACAGAGGGATAGAGTAGTAGCAACAAGGTTGACGAGCTTCATGATGGCTGGCGTGCGCGACTGAACGAACGATACAGAAGTGCACCCAGGTTGTGCAGCAGACGGCCTGTTATATGAGCCGCATGAGCCGCACCAGTGACGGGGCGTATGATTGCCGCGACTCATCGCGTCGCTATGCCTTCTAGTTTGCTACTTCGCGTTCACAATCTTGCCGTGTCTCCGTCATCTTTCCGTCGCACGAGGAAGTCGGGCCACTATCTCACCCACGGCATGGCTGTGAAGACGCTGACGGTGCTATCGTTCCTCGCCAGATGATGATTGTCCTAGTCGAGACCGGGTTGAGGGTAGACTGCTTAGGTGCGATGCCGTCCCTGACGATGGAGGTCTGCATCGCTGGTTGCGCTGACTGTAAGCAGGGGTCAGCAGCCCCACCTACGACAGCCTCACGTACAGAATGCTCGGGTCCCAATATATCATCCTGAGGGCTTTCTATCTCAAGCACTTCGATACTTGTGTTCTGACGGCTATCAAATAGGCTGTGCCAATCGCTGGCAGCGCCGATGGTAGCGTTGGTGAGGCAATCGAATGGTGCCGGTACCACCCGTACGAAGAGGGTACCGACCCAGAGCTTGAAGGTGTCATGACTACTTTTGTGGACCAAGAGCGGCCTCTCGAGAGCGGTGTAAGAAGACTACACGCAAAGAAATGGAAGGATTGTCTTCAAGCCGCCGAGGACGACCTTCCAAAGTCTATCTGCGACATGCTCTCACCGTGTGAGATCCCTTGGGTCACCAAAGTGACCACTGCCGATAGGCCTGACGAAGAGATTGATGTCGAAGAGATTGATGACGGAGAGAGTTATGGCGAAGATATTGATGACGGAGAGATTTATGGCGAAGAAATCGATGGCGAAGAAATCGATGGCGAAGAAATCGATGGCGAAGAGACTTATCACGAAGAAATTGATGGCGACGAGACTTATCACGAAGCGATTGATGGCGAAGAAATTGATGACGGATAAGGTAGGACACCCTCATGAATGTGGAGTAACTAATAGGCCCTCCGCACCGACGGTAGGCAGCTCTTCGTTCTCTCACGCAGAAGTGCAGATGCTTTCCCCCGGCCCTGCGTCTTTCTATATCCCTGTTGATAATAATCTTGGTTTTTGCAACGAGGGACGTAAAGATTGTCACAACCCTACCTTCTTGCATTGCTTTGACCAGACGGCGCAAGACTCACCCGTAGCACAAACGCATATCGTTCCGTATAGCGGTGTCGGCATCGGTCCGACAACCGCAGCAGGAAGTTTTCCGTGCTATGACCTTTCAGCGAGCAAATCTCGTTCTCTAGAGCTGGACATGGCTGGACAAGTTCGACAAGCCCAGCAAGTAGAGGACGTGAGGGAGTTGGAGGCGGAGTGCGACAGGCTGGATACCGATTGCGGCAAGCTGGAAGTAGAACTGCACAGGATGCGAACAGCACTTGTCCAAGCGCAAGTTAGGTTCATGGAAGAGACAGTCAAGCGCGAGGATTTCTCTGTCCATCCGTGTTGCCCTGTCCTTACACAGACACAGACCCATTCCACGTTATCACCAATGCAGGTGCTCGATGCTGCTGTGTCTTATTTGCCTAGCCACAACGGTACAGCGGCAGCTGTAGTACGTAGTATTCCCAGAAAAAGGCGGTATCCTGAATCCGATGATGATGATGCTGCGCATGCGCGGAAAAGGAGGCGCTGCGGTTAGGACATATGAATGTAACCGGAACGAATTGGATGCCAACTTGCTCCACACTGACAACTGCATCCAGCTCGAGAAAGAGACAAGGCGTGCATCGCCTCAAGTGAGTCCGTGAGAATTCAGCGTGTTCTTCGATGCTGCAGTATCAGCGTGAAAATGGTTGAGCGAGAATAGCGGGGGCTCTAACTGGACGCGGGTGGTAGCAGATGAGCACTTGTATCCTGACACAGGTAATCTATCTTGATCCCGCTATAGAGAATAGACAAGTATAGCAGAAGACCACAATGGTCTCGTGTAGACGTCGCGTGATCCGTCTCTCCTCTGCGCCTCCGATATGCTTTTACTCGTGCACAAGCCCATGGTCACGGTTGACGTGACGGAAACTTCTGATTCAAACCTTGGACATGGTAGCGGCACGCATGAAGTCACACAATTTCATACTCGAACCAAGGAAAGAACCTTTGCTAACTCAGCGAAGAGACACTGGCCAAATCGTGACGTGTCGTACGTGGGCTGTGTGATGCGCGCTATGGCGTACCCAAGTGGCAGACAATGCGAGGGCGGCTTACAGCCATTACGCCAATAGCCTAGCAGAAGCGCGGACCTGAGTCTCTGCCAGAAGGCGTTCGACGGCGCGTAATACGCATGCTGAGGTGTCAGCGGTACAACGACAAACTGCTTACGCTAGTTGTGAGTACCGCAACTTTCTGACGGCCGCTTCGATGCCATAACCCACCGCAGGCTGCCCTTTCGTGTCGGCACTCACAATCGAGAGAGGATACTGCCCCGCATTCATGAGGAGTCGGAGAGGATGCGAATGGCCTGTGTGGCTCAAGCCAACCCTCAAACTGCCAAGGCGAATGCTGTTCTGGTTTCTTTGTCTCGTAGCGTTCGTTAGCTTTGCGACGTCTTCCATGCTGTATTGGATGTCCGCTGGCTCCGCTGTTCGATTCGTGTCGGCTCTTTGCGCTGTACTCGCGACAACAGCCGTGCAAAAGTTTGTCGTGCTGGAGCTCGTAGTAATCCTTCTCAAACGCAAGCGCGAAACCTCCGCTGTCGTCCTAGAGACGGTTCTTAGGTGAGTGGTTGCCCTTTGGCGCTTTGAAGTCGATGTTCATGCAGCCAGCAACTGGACGGAGAGTGCCCTGGCCGTGGTAGCAGCTTGGACTGGTCAGAACGTCCTAGGTCCGACTTTCCTGGTGGGTGCAATCACCATCAATCAGCTTGTCCTCCTCGGAGCCTGTTTCATACATGGCGGCCATCACAGCGGAGCGATCAGATACCCAATGCTCATGGCATCGATACACGCTCGGGCGCTGCCTGCAGGCTTGGCCTTGTTGGCATACGCTGCCGTTTCTAATGCAGGATCAGAAGGTAAAGAGTGCATTTCATCGGCCAGTCGTAGACGCTTACCCTGCTTCACAGTATCTAGCGAGAAAGGGCCGCGCGTCTACTGCATCACCGCCATATTGCTCTTGCTATATTTCGCAGGCCACGTTTTCTTCGTGTGCCGGCTGCACTCCAACGTCTCGTTGGCGGTGAGCGGTTTGCTATCGCCCAGCGATCCCAACATGAGCGTCAACTGCCGAAACAGCGACCTGTTGCCTAACAGCTTCTCCGGAAGGATCGGCGTCTCCCAGATTTGGCACCTTCGAGATGAGAAAGAGGCGTGGCTTCGTGGATGGCTGAGCCTAGATTCAGACTTTGAGAAAGGACAGCCCTCGGACAGCGCCATTGCGGTACTGACACTCTTGCTTTCTTGTATTGCAACCCTTTTTTTGGGCGCTCAGTTTGTCAACACGCTGGCAACTGAGGACACGGGCAGTTGGCAATCTCCGCTGCATGCGGGTTACATCCTCCTTCCGCTCTCCACGAGTGCAGCTGGGCTGATCGCAGTTCAGCTCCACGGCTGTTGTTGCACGTCCGCCGTATTCCACGGCCAAGTATTGTTCGCATCCGTCCTGTCGACGTTCCACTTGCTTTGTTTCACCCTACCCGTCTTCGTTCTGACCAGGTGGGCCACTGCTCCTGGACCCAGCCTCGAGTTTTTTAATGTACACCAGCTGGGGCTTCTTGCTATCGCCTTGCTCCTTCCTCTGTACCCAATGCAGAGAGGCAGTGATGACTGGTACGTTTGTAACCGCCTACGCAAGCGCAAGCTAACCTTCGTCCCAGGCACATGGGCGTGGCCTTGCTATTCCTCTACGTACTTTATGTGAGTTGCTTCTGGTGATTGCGATGATCTGTGCGCTGCTGGGGCCTCGTCGAGTCAGTACGGCTGGAGTGATAGAGTGGTCGTCGTATGGGAAGTAGCATGCGTGCTTATGAGCCTTGGAGTTTAGAAGTAGGCGAGTTTGCAAAGTGGTTTTTGCAAGCGCTGGGAAGTTTCATGCTTGGATGTAATGACTCAATATTGCGCTTTGACCCAATAGAATGCCCGCATGCCAATAATTCATTACTGCCTACCTCTTGATTGATTTTGCAGGTGCCGGCACGCACTGGCTTCTTGCTGCTTGTACGACAACAGCTTCTGCACCACCCTTACGTCCGTCCCGATGAGGCGAACATCGCCGTGACCCGAAAACAGCTCATGAGACACAGCACGGTACTGGGATACATTTTGCACTTCCGCTCTCGCTTCCCATTATCGGATCACCTGGTTTTACGCTGCACGGGGATAGCCGTTACATGAACACAAGTGACTGCCCCGGCACGCTCGAGATGTCAGGCAGTGTGGAGTCGATCCTCGACCTGCGTATTCACTTACAGGTAAAGCGTAACAGTCTCACTAATGCTTTGCGACAGTCACGTCAAGAATACGGATTACACACGATCAGCAATCAGACAAGTAATTTCTACACAAACATGCAGGCTAGCTATAGACTATGAACGAAGGAAAACAGCGCAAGTACGGCATACGCCTAATCTAGTTACGAAGGTGAGAAGCTGCGATAAGCGCCTGGGGAACACTACGGCTCAGAGCTGACCACGACAGGACCTGCCAGTGTAGCGGCTGTCAGATCAGCGATGCTGGTGAGTTTTGGCTGCGTTGCTAGCACTGCAAAGGCTGTGCCCGATAGGCTAGGTGGTACCATCGTGCTTCCGGAATTCTCGTCGAACAGGGTCAGGGCAGTGAAGACGGGCTGGGCGACCTGATTCACCCAAGCCACGAACACCTGGTTGCCCAACTGCGCAACAGCATACTTAGCAGCAGCGTCCCATTCCACGCTGACATTGGTGCCCGGACGCACATGGCCAGAAGTCTTCTTGTTTATCGAGAGCTTCGGCAATATGGGAAGCGGCAGCTCTACGCTGCAAGAGCCTGGCTGGGAATACTCCAGCGCGAAGTTGTAGGCCCACGCCGGAGTCGCAGGCGTGTCGAAAGACTGTCCGCTCGCGTTGCGGTGCGAATGTTCGCCGAGAAGCGCAATGTGCTTGGCGTCGACGCTGGCGATACTGGACAACAAGATGGCGACCGGCCCGTCCGCTGCCTCCGCCATCGACATGAAGACGCCGAGGTTGATGGACTTCAAAGTGACCATGAGAAAGCTGAGCTCGGTCACGTTGCTGGGCAGATCGTATTGACAGGAAGGCACGTCTGGATTTCCCGACCGGCGGAGCAGGCTCCGTAGGGTCCGCAACTGCGTCTGCTCTTGCTGTTCAGAACGCACACGTCAGCGGAGGTTCTCTTGCACAGCGAACGAGCAGCACTACTTACCACAGCGATCTCCGCCACCAGGCTGGCCAGACCCTCTGTATCGCCCCTCGCGCTCGGCGAACGCGGTTCCACTACCCTACTCTCGTTAAACACCCAGACACCCAGGTTTTTCAGGACGAGCGCCAACTGAAGGGCATCGACGGACGACGGAGACAGACTGACCGTGCTGTTCTCCTGGCTCGCGTCCGGTCCAAGCAACGCTCCTGTGGGTCTGTACAGTCCCGCAGAGGCAGAGGCCTGCGCCCCCGCCATAGACGTGGGCTTACTACCGAGATCTGTCTGTGCGAGTGTGGTACCACCTGGCGAGAGCCCAGCGACGCTGCTCACCCCAGGGGCATTGCTAGTAGCGGTTGTGGCGATAGGAGCGCCAGATCCCCCGACACCAGTAGAAAGGCCGGCGGGTGGAGTGGAAGAGGCAGCATCGTTGACGAGTTGACCATTGTCACTTATGTCACCCGCACTGGGACCCGCGGTGGGTTGACCGTTGGTACTTATATCACTCACACTGGGGCTTACGGCGGGCTGACCATCGTCACTTATATCACTCGCACTGGGGCTTATGGTGGGTTGACCAGAGCTGACGAATGGGCCGGCACTGCCGTCTGCAGCCGAAGTAGGAACTGCGGTCACGGCGGAGCTACTGGTCTCTAGCACGGAACCCATGGCCTGTGTCCCATCACTCGCAGCGGAGGCAAGAGAGCTGGGTACGGCTGCGCTTGGGGTAAGAGCAGGACTAAGGGACCCGGCGGCACTCTCTGCGCGAGTTTCTGTGGCATCGGGAAGAGGTGGTGCGTCCGTGAGCCTCGACACAGCTGTTGAGTTTGCAGGCCCACCAGGACTACCTGTCGACAGTCCTGTAGGACCTGCCCCGCTCACGGTCAAGGTCAAGGGAGCGGTAGTGAGCGTGATGCCGCTGTACATCATCGTGACCGACGGCTGTAGGCTATTCGTAGAAAAGGGAGCTCCTGATTTGGGAAAGCAATACTGCTCAACGACGGACGCCGCAGACGCATTTCCAGACTGGGCTTCACTACGACTCCACAGAGCGCTGGAAGCGAGCAGAAGAAGCGGTATCATCATGATGGGGGATGAGCTTGCGTGCTCGGCCAGGGGCGGCGACAGTCTCATATAGCTGGCCCTGTGCTCATGACCATCTATATGCGTCAGCTGTTCGCTGCTGAACTGATGACACCTGCGCCTACGTCCCGCTCACTCTCTGCAATGCCGCTTACTGGTGATGCAGGCCACTTTCAGCCGAATAGCAGAATGTACTCACACAGCCTACCATGCGGTCTTGCGGCTGCGTAGCGGCGCCTCAGCGAACGAGAGGGAGCACGACTATCGAACGCTTCGCACGGCGTGTCGTTCACTAGACGCACTCGTACCTCCCACTCGGCAACCACCCGGATCATGGCACGACGGACTTGGCATGCTGCTCGCGTGTGCTTCTCACGTGCTGTGTGCAGTGTATCCTCGCGAAGCAGACACACATTAGCAGCAGTATGTGGCCTGACAAGGCGACGGGTTCTAGCAGCTGACAACCTCTACGCGCAGGTACATACCAGCTTTCGAGAGGCTACAAGGATGGGCGCTCCGGTGATTGCCGTACCACTATGGACAGTAGGGGCGACTGTGAATTGTTCAAATCCAGCGCCGCTTGCATGCGTGTAGCATCCTGTGTTCGTCCTTCGACACTCGCTCGCACGAATCATGAGTGACGCATGAGCGCGACAACTACCTTGCGTCGCGGGCATTCCTGCTGTTACAGTCCGCAACAAGCAAGCGATAGACATATTGATTACCGCATTAGGCGTAAAAAGACCACGGTGTGGCTCGTGTCACGCCTAATGCGGTAATCAATCTGTCTATCGCTTGCTTGTTGCGGACTGTACCTGCTGTGCGGGTCGCAGGCTTTTCCACGTTCAGAAAGTAGCACTCGGCATTCATCGCGCCTGTCAGCGAAGGTTTGGCTATAACTCGATTCGTTCAAGCCGAAGAGCACCTGCATCATGCTAGCAGCGTGGGCAGGCTTAAGCACAATCGTGTGGGGTGGTGTTCTCGTGTTCACAATTTTCGACCCTCAGCAATCGCGACTGATGGGTGCACAAATGCAAATCCAACGAAGGCTCGCACTTGACGTTACGAGGGTCTTTGCAGACGTTCGTCAACCTCATTGTTCACGCCTGGAACGACTGACTGGCCTGAGCGACGGACCAATGCATGGGGCTCACACAATGCGCGCTGTTCGCACATCTCCGAAAGATCTGCCCATCCTTCACAAGCTGGCGATCCAATTACCCGTGGCAATGTGGCTGTGATCCTGATGTGCAGGCGAGCGAGACGTAAGCGTAATTAACGCGGAAGAACCTGGCCTGGATCCGGACTTTGCGCAGATACTGCAACGATGCGGCGCGGCATCCTGATGACGCCGATGGCGATCAGGATTATGAAGGTAATTATCGCTCACAGGGGCTATCTTGGCGTGCTGGCGCGTCTGCTCTGCCGTCGGTCACTGGCGTTTGTTCCAAGACAAGCAATTGAGCCGCGCGCTACGACAGCCACTCGTATGCCGTGCGAGGGAAATGAAATATGGGTCGTACACAACATATTCCCCGGAACTGCCGAGGCGACGTGCCCCAGACCTCGAGGCAGAGTTGCCAAGAACACGTGCAAACAATTGTTCCGCGCCCTCGCAGTTTGGTAGACAGCAGCGTGCACAGTCTGTATGTGACCCAGCCAAATCGGTTCCTGTTCCCGAGTGCTGCACCAACGTCCATCCAAAACTGTTTCATGTCCCGCCTCTCGGATCAGCCGCCGTTATACGTGCGCTGCGATCGGCTCTTCATACTCATCACTCGATGGTGCGAGACTGCTGCGCCGCAAAGGTGCAGAAAATGACCCGACGGCGGCTCCAAATGCTGCAAGGAAGGTGTAAGCATAGGGTGGTAGTAGTATAAGGTCACATGAATGAGTGTATTCTTCTGTGTATGTACAAATGTGTGATCTGAGCTCTTAAGTAGTCGGACGCATTAGTCATGCCTGCAGAGCAGTCATGTGATGTGGTCCTAGGCTTACACACCCCCTTCAGGTTCGAACGCATGTTGGAAGCTGATGTGATCGTGGACCACCCCCTGCCGTGTGACGGGCAGAGCTGCATTAGGTGCGGGCTAGTACCGCTGACGGTGCAGTTCCAGATGGGCGATCGTCTGCCGTCGCAGTGTTGGTGGACCTCTGCTCTATGTGATAGGCGTCCCCAGAGCTTGTAAGTTTTTGAGGTCCTTTTTGCTTCGCGCTCATTTTGGTCGGGTAGTGCTTAACCTTTTGGCTGAGCTAGATGCCTTTTGCTGAGCTTAATGCCCTAATGTAGGAAAGGGTTCGAAGTGAAGAAGTGAAACCCAGTGTTCGTGCTTTTGTCGAGGCAAAAGCTTTGTAAGACCGTCTGCTGGTTGACAGTTAGTTTGTGTGTACGAGATGTTGATGTTGTTTGCTTGTGATTCTTGACGTAGCCAGTGATGATGGATGTCGACGTGTCGAAGACTCGTCTTAAGGCGAGGTGTGGCAGCCTCGAGTAGGCGTATTGTCTGTTGATTGTCGTAGTATAGTAGTTGCTCGTTGTTCGGATCAAAGCCGATATCACGGAAGACTCTCCACCACCATATGAGTTCAGTGCCAGCAGACGAAGCAGCGATAAGCTCTGCTTCTGTGGTAGGCTTGGTGACACATCGCTGCAATGTGGCTTTCCAGTCAACGGGACCACCAAAGAGGAAGAAGATGTAGCCTTGCGAGCTTCTGCGGGTGGCTTTATGATCAGCATATGAAGCGTCTGTGGCTCCAAAGAAGTCTGGTTCGCAGTGGTCTGAGATGTAGGCAGCATCGGTGGAGACGGAAGCATTGTAGTGGAGGGCTTGATCTCGGGTGTTTTGCAAGTAAGCTATTGTTTGATACGCCGCGTCGATATGGCGTTGCGACGGGTTGACGAGAAATTCGGCCAGTTTCGAATGAGCTTTAGCGACGTCGGGTCGTGTTGCTCCTGCCACGTATCCAATCGAACCTACCAGTTGAGCATATCTGTGCGTGTTCGCGTCGTGTTTTGGTTCGTCGGATGGAAGCAGTTCCTCAAGTGGAAGTGGTGTGGAAGGAGGTCGACTGAACGCCTTTGGAGAGGGGTACTTGTGAGCGATTTTGTCGATGTATGATGCTTGTGAGAGCCATATTGCCCCGTTCACGCGGTCGCGATTGTCAAAAATGTGTGGGGTGTAAGAGTTGTCGTATTAATCAAGCTAGGCTCCTGACTATATGATGGCGCTAATCAGTCCCGTGACAGCAGTCACATGACCATTGCCTTCATCGCCTATCTTGACACTCCCCCTCGATGAAGCAATGCTCCCCCTGGATCAACACCAGGTATGCATGTAGTACTTATGCAATAGAGCTACTGTCTTTTACTCATCGATTTTTCGTAGTCCAACCATTCGACGAAAGGACTCAAACTTAGTCTTGCCTAACGGCTTCGTGAGACCATCTGCTGGGTTAAGTCCGCCTGCAATCCACTCCATAATGACTGACTGTTCCTCCACCTTTTCCCGTACAAAGTGGTATCGAATGTCAACGTGTTTCGTCCTTGCATGAAACATTGGATTCTTAGCTAAAGCTAAGGCCCCTCGGTTGTCTCCAAGGATAGTCACCGGCTGAGGTACACTTGGTTGAGAGAGATCAACTCGCAACTGACGCAGCAAGCGCTGCAGCCAGATCGCTTCCTTAGCAGCCTCAGACTCGGCAATGTACTCGGCCTCGCAACTGGAAAGCGCTACCGTGGCCTGACGCTTTGATTTCCAGCTAATGGCAGTGCCGGCGAATGTAAACACATAACCGCCAGTCGATCGGCGGTCATTGTCTCTTCCCCAGTTTGCGTCCGTATACCCCATGAGAACATCTGCCTGATCTTGCGTGGCTATTACCAGGCCATAGTCACTAGTACCCTTCAGGTACCGAAGCAGTCTCTTCAACGCTGCATGGTGTTTCTCAGATGGGTTTGCCGCAAAGCGACCTAGCTGGCTGACAGCATATGCGATGTCTGGCCGGGTACAGAGCATCAAATACATCAAGCTGCCAATCGCTCGCTGATACCGTTTCCGATCGTCAGCGTCGCATGCCTCTTTGCTGGGTTCCAGCACCAGGTTCTCGGCCATTGGGGTTGCCGCAGGTGTACATTCTGCCATTCCAAAGGTTTTCAATACCTTCTCGGTGTGCGCCCGTTGAGTTAGCTTGATCTTGCTTCCTCGTGAGGTCTCCTCTCGGATCACCCTCACTCCAAGGTAGTGAGCAACTGGGCCGAGATCGCTCATCTTGAAGTGCTCTGAGAGAGCCCTCTTGATAGATGCTATCGCCTCCTGGTCTTTTCCTAGGATCAGGAGATCGTCTACGTAGGTCGCGATGACCAGGCGCTTGTCTCGATTCACGAACACGCTATGGTCTTCCGATATTGCCACAAATCCCATTGGCCCTAGCGCTTGGCTCAGGGTCATGTACCAGATCCGAGGTGACTGTTTGAGCCCGTACAGGGCTTTCCTGAGTTTGCAGATCTTCCCTGGATGCTGGTCCTTGATGTTTGGTGGTAGTTCCATATAGACGTCCGTGTCGATCTTTCCGTACAGAAAAGCTGTCTTGACGTCCATCTGTTCGATCGACCAATTCAGTAAACAGGCCAACACGAACAGCAATTTGTAGCTCATCGGCTTGACCACCGATGCAAATGTTTCGAGAACATCGACACCCAATTCTTGTTCAAAGCCGCGTGCGCACCAGCGAGACTTGTAGCGAGTGACCTCTCCATCGGCGTTGGTCTTGATTTTGTATACAAACTTGCCGCTAAGGATTGACACTCCCGGAGGGGGGTCTATTACTTCCCACACATCGTTGGCTATAATCTCTCGGACTTCTTCGTCCATAGATGGGATCCATCGCGATGCATCCGCACCAGTGACCGCCTCCTCAAAGTTCTTTGGTTCGTGCGCGCAGCCGGCCGCACACTCAACCACCTGGTTTTCCAGTTTGTCTTGATTCTTCTCCAGCGCTGACAGCGCAGCGAGGCACTCAGTTACTGCGCTCCAGTTTTCGTGGTCTACTGACGCCAGCGACTGAGCTACTTGAGCCTCCGTAGTCTCTTCAGAGAAGCGCTCCGCTTCATTTACCTCGCCGTCTTCGGCGATAAGCACGAGTCCTCCACTAATCGCAGGAAGCTTTACTGACAAGGCTGCCAATATCTCCCCCTCGATTGTAGAGACTCGTCGCCGCTTAGCCTTGTGGCCAAGCGTGTTTTCAATCATCGCCTCGTCGCGATGAGCCGGTTGACGTACCGTCTCAGGGACTTCTTCCCCTAAACCGAATACGTTCTCGTTAAAGTGCAGGTCTCGAACCAGTTCAACTCGCTCGGTACAGGTGTTCCACACGCGATACTGATGCTTCGCGACATAGCCAAGGAGGTAACACTTGTCTGCCCGGGGATCAAGCTTCTTGAAACTCGAGTGATTGTTACGTGGACGAGGCTTCCAGCACTCACAGCCCAACACCCTGAGGTGTTCAATGGGCGGTGTCTTCCTATACAGTCGTTCGTACGGTGTTTGGTCATCGGGGTTAGCCGAGGTCGGGCAATAATTGACAATTTCTGCTACACTTGTGAGGATCTCTGCGAAACAGTGCTGACCGAGATTGGACTCGTCTAGTATCGCTCTCACTGCTGCGAACAGTATGTTCATGCCCCGCTCTGCGACCCCGTTTTGCTCAGGATTATATGGCGCTGTAGGCTCAACCTTGACGCCCGTTTCTCTGAAGAACTCATTCAGCAGCTTGTTGTCGAATTCTCCGCCGTTGTCTCTGCGAACAGCGAGCAATTGGTGTTCCAGTTCTTTTTCGACCTGGGTCTTCCAGATCCGCAGCTCTCTCGCTGCATCATTCTTGTGTCGCAACACTCTCACCCATCTATATCTTGTATAGTCGTCTGTGATAGTGAGAGCGAAGCGATCATTTACTTTCTTCTTGCCATCATACGCATTGACTGGCCCTGCTAAGTCGATAAAGACCCTTTGTAGAGGCTTCGTGCTCCTTGTTCCGGAGTTCTTAAAGTTTCTCCTCTTCATGCCTGTTCGGTTGCAGGGTTCGCATGGCGGCAGTGGGTCTTCTGCGCTCGATGCGTTGAGGCGCCGCAGCAGCCTTCGTAGCCTCCCTTCTCCAAGGTGTCCTAATCGACGATGGTGAATCTCGATAGGCACATCGGAGGGTATTGCCGTGAAGGCGTATGGCTGCGGTCGCCGCTTTCGAGTAGCTTCTGGTTTTGGCCGTGACAGTACGTATAAGTCGGTGTTACGGCAGTCAGCCGTGGCTATTACTTGTTCAGTTCCTGTCCGCACGATCTCAAGATCATGGCCATCCATTACAAAGCGTATGCCTGCCCTCTCTCCCTCTTTCGTCAACGTCAACGCTCGACAAGAGATGATGTTGAACGGAAGTCCGGGTGCGTACGAAACGTTTTGGATAGTAAAGGTCTTGTTGTGTGCTTTGCCGTCGACCTTGCAGGCTATTGGAATCTTCACGGTCCCAACGCCTGCAACTGCCACGCCTCCTCCGACGCCCATCACCCTCTTTCCAGGTGGCGCCGGACTCAGAGTCTCGAAGAGTGATCGTCTTCCAGTCACGTGTGTGTAGCTTCCACTGTCTAGGACCCAGTCGTCTGGGGCCAGTCGTCCGTTGATGACACCCAGTGCTAGTGGCAACCATGGGCTATTGCTTTCTTCCCATGTCTCTGCCTCGACTTCCATCCACCATCTTGCTCCCAACGCCGCCAGTACGTAGGCGAAAGCAGTCCATTGGGACAGGCATAACACGCATGCGATAACCATGCCCCAGCAGAGACTCTCCCTACGCGCCAGTAGTCAGTCGGAGGTGGATCCTTGCACGAAGTCTCCTTCTTCAATTCTTCGTTTCTTTGTGGCACTGTCCGAATTTGCTGTATTTGGACCTGGCCTCTTTGTGCCTTTGCCTTCGAGTACATCCAAGTACCATCTTGGTCTGTATTTGGCATTCTGGCTCATCTTGTAACAACCAGTGGGCCCTGCGATGGCCAGGTGTCCTGCCTTTCCACAGAACGTGCATTTCTTGTGATTGTGCACCGCCAGAGTGATGCCGTCGTCGTTGTTCATCTGTCGCTGTTCTTCTTGAATAACCTCCCGAGCCAAGATCTGGAAATCTTTAGGGCTAGTTATGGAGACAATAGATTCATCTGAGCTCAGAACAGCGACCTTGTTGTCGAACGCACTGGTGAGTGCGGTGAGAAAGTGGGAATTGACCTGCCACGACGGTAGGCGATAACCTACGTCGATTGCCACCAGTCTTTCCTGCACCTCTACCAGCTTGTTTCTAAACTCAGTAACGCTTCCAGTGTTGGCAAGCGTGGTGTTGAAGAACTCTCTGAACAACGACCAAACGATCGCACTCCCTCTCTGGCGGTTACGCTCACCTAGGAGCTCCATCGCGCGGGATGGGAGCTCAATTTCCTCGTTCTGTAGTGACGACCTTATAGTCCCATCGCAGGCTGTATGCAAAATGCCCATGGCGTTTCGGCATAGTCGTCTAAACATGACTAGTACTTTCTGGTTTCTGGTGGTTGACAACTCGTCAAACCCGCCTTCGTACATCTCCCATAGATTGTGTATCTCGGCCACGGTTTGGAACGATTTCTTCCATCCATCGTAGTTGGTGACTCCACCCAACTTCTTGAAGCCTGGCTCGCTCACGGCTTTGCCAGCGCTGCTTACTTTGGCGTGTCTTTCAAAGTCCAAGAAAGCCTCCACCAGATCATGTCCGTCTGGGTAGCCCCTTTGACCGTCGCCGTCTACTTGTAGCTCCCTTGTCAATTCTCTGAGTCTGCGGTTTTCCGCTCGTAATGCTTCCATCTCGTCACTCTGATCAGTCATATCTCCATTGTCTCCACCTCCCCGACTTCGGTATGCCCGCTCCCCATGCCCTTCGCGCAACCCACGCCCTGTGGTGCTTCCATCCTGATTGTCTCGGCGATTGCGCTCCATTGCTTCGAGCCGAAGTTGTTCGGCGGCGGTGGTGTTCCGGCGGGTAGGGCGAGACGAGGCCATGCTGAAGTCCTGTAGGGGTTTCTCTGACAACTATATGTACTATGCTCGTGCGATTTGCTGATGGTTGAAAAGGTGCTGCGATGGAAGGATTTTTCTTCATATTTGCTTTTTCTCAGCAGAGCGGGGTCAGCCTCACCCCATCATTCCCTATGGCTTATCCATCCTCCTTTTTCCAGCCCTTCAAGCTTCAGGAGTCTTTCGGGAATGACGAGTGTGCTTGTCTGACCCTCCATCTCTTTTTCTTGACGGGCTCAGGGACTTCCATTTGTCGCATCCTGAGCCCGACCTGAGTGCTTGGCGCTGCTCGCCTTTTCAGCCTACCTCAGGCCCATCTTACGACGCAGCTGTGTCAATGCTGCGAAGGTTTATCCATCAAGAGGAAGCTGGTAACTGATCGGTAGCGCATCGCGGTACGGATCTGACGGGTTCTTGGACTACCAGGCTCGTCCTGAATCCCGACTCGAGTGCTTGGCGCTTCTCGCCTCTCGAGCCCATCTTACGACGCAGCTGTGTCAAGACTGCGAAGGTTTATCCATCAAGAGGAAGCTGGTGGCTCCCGGGCTGAGTTCTTCAGCGCGGTTGTGACGAGTTCAGGACTACCAGGCTCATCCTGAATCTCCACTTGAGTGCTTGGCGCTGCTCGCCTCTCAAGCCCATCTTACGACGCAGCTGTGTCAATGCTGCGAAGGCTGATACAACATAAGGCTATTATGAGGGAACTCTTACTCCCTATTTTGCATAGGCAGTTAACCATGCGCGAAAGCGCCGGGCTCATAACCTGTCAAAAATGTGTGGGGTGTAAGAGTTGTCGTATTAATCAAGCTAGGCTCCTGACTATATGATGGCGCTAATCAGTCCCGTGACAGCAGTCACATGACCATTGCCTTCATCGCCTATCTTGACAGCGATGGACTTGAGTGCCGCAGAATACCTTAATTTCCCCGAGAGATCGGATCTCGTACTTGTTAAGTAGTCGTCGCTCGAAGTCATCAAGGGCTGCCGTGTGAGCTGGTAGGCACAGTACGACAATGTCATCGACGTAAAAGAAGACAAGAAGCTTATCGTTCTTCCACAAGCAGGGTGCATCTTTGACCTCGTAAAGTCCGACTTCAGTAAAGGCTTGGGTAAGCTCTTTGTACCAGAGTAATGGAGATGTTTTGAGACCGTATAGCGCTCGATTGAGCTTCCACAAATGGTCAGTATCAGTGAAGCCTTCTGGTAGGTGGCAGTAAACAGGCGTTGTGAGTTGTGCGTTGGTGAACGCATTAACGGCATCGTACTGTCGTATTTCCATGTTGAAGTAGGCAGCAATTGCCATAAGTGCTCGGAAGATGCGCATGGTTAGCGTAGCGGCGTAGGTGTCTTCAGCCGTAGTTTGAAGATCGCCGCGCACGCAGATGCGAGCTTTGTACTTGGTAAGGTATCCTTCACTGTCCAGCTTGTACTTGAACACCCAGAGAAGAGGAAGAACCTCGTTGTTCTGAGCGTCGAAGTCGCTCCAAGTAATCCTTTCGAATGTATCTTTTCGCTTAACGGTTTCTATTTCTTGTTGCATAGCTCTAATGAATCCCTCTTTATGTGGATAAGGGAGCTTCATAACATCCTTGTAGAACCGGGGTTCAAGTGGAAGAGCGGTATGATGGAATTGCGTTTTTGGTGCGTTTGCAGATGCAGCTACGAATGATGACTAATAGGTACTGACGAAGAAGCTGCTGCTCTTTCTTGTTGGTTTTCTAGATCTCTTCGAACCTTCTGAAAGTATGTGGGACGGGCGCAAGTCGCTGTCGATGAGCTCTCTGTTTTGAGCCAAGTTCGAATCGACTGGAATGTGTCGTTTACGTTTCCTTAAAGAACTTGCAAGATTTGGTGACGGCTCTCTTTGCTGTTGTATTTGTAGATTGCCATGTGAGGTTTGAGTAGGTGCCTGTATGCTTTGTGACCTTTGGATGCCTGTATAGCTTGGTGATGTTGGGGCTGGAGTTGGAAACATCGATGGCTGGGCGGTTTTGTCTAGATTTGCTTGGTTTAGTTGAGGTTGGAGTTGTGAGGTTGATGTAGGGTGAATTGTTGGCTGTTTGCTATTCTCTGTTTCGTCCTCTGATGTGTCTTCAGGGTCGTGGAGAGTTGACATGCGATATGTTTGGATGAACTCTTCTAGGTCTGAGCCTTGCAAGATTGGTTCTGCTTCATCCTTGTCTGATTGATAGAACATGGTTTCCTTGAATGTTACATCGCGCACTCGAACGACCTTTCCTTGGTGGGCTCTGCTCCTAGCTCCGGGCAACCATATCCGGTAGACGTTTGATGCATCATATCCAACTAGATATCCAACTAGCGAACGTGGGCTGAGCTTGTCTCCTCTTGGTATTTGTTGGCGCAGCGCATACGCGCGACAACCATAGATCTTCAAGTGAGCGAGAGAGGGCTTTTTGCCATATGCCATCTCGAAAGGAGTCTTCCAGCTCAGTGTTTTGGTGGGTGTTCTGTTGAGGATATATGCAGCACACATGTATATCTCAGGGCTGAGGGCTAGAGGCAGGTTTGATGCCACTCGCATTGAACGACTGCGGTCAATGAGGCTCTTGCCTGAGCGTTCAGCAGAGCCATTCTGCTCCTTGACGTGTGGTGCTCGAATCTGAAATTTGATGCCTTCTTGTTGGCAGTAGCCTCGGGCTGAGTCGTCGGTGATGCCATACCCTCTTTCATCATCTGCGATAAGGAACGTGACTGTGGTGTTGAACTCGCGTTTGATGCTTCGATCTAGTCGTCTGAGTATCTCAAGTAGCGTCGCTTTGTCGCGTTTAGCAATAGTAAATACGAAGTGAAGCTTCGTGTAGAGGTCGATACCATGAAAGACATATTGATGGCCGTTGTAAGCAGTTGCTTCAAGCCTAATAAGATCGATAGCCACCGTTTCGAATGGTCGGGATGCCCCTATCTCGTGACCGATTCGGCGCGAGATGATTTGATGGCCTTTGTTCTGCGAGCATTGTTCACAGTTGATTGTCTTCGGCGAACCTCCCGTAGGTGGTGCGATTCCGATGACGTTACTGGGTAGGTGGTCGATCGCATCACTCCCAGCGTGTCCGAGAAGCACATGTAGCTGTGGCTTTGAAAGCGTGCGAGGTCGTGCTGGTAGAGCAGAGTGTTGCGGTCTTCTCTTGTTTGTTACATGGAAAGAGTGCAGCGCGGTATGTGAGGCTGCCTGTTGTAGAGGCTCACTTCGATGCACGAGGAGCCAATGGCCTCCCAATCGGGTAAGATCAGCAATGGGTTCCCGCGGGGTTCCGGCACGATATAAGATACTCTTTCCTGAGTCGAAGTGCACGTTTGATGACGACAGGCGTGCGAGCGAGACGAGGCTTGTGAAGAAGGTAGGGATTAGTGCTACTCGTTTAAGCGTTGTAGTCTTTGTGCCTTTGGCGGTAGTAAGAGGTATGTTTACTTCTCCCCACGCTTCGATGCGTGCTTCTGATCCTCCAGCAAGCACAATGTCATCTGGGGCGGCCGGTGCTTTCCATTGGAACTCGGCAGTATTGTTGCAGATGTGTACGTCGGTAGCTGGGTCCAATGTCCATGAGTGGAGGAGCGGATAGTGCTGATAAGGTGGTTGATGGTTGAATGCTGACAGAAATACAGCATAGGCTTGGTGTGAAGTATGTTCGATGGGGTCGTCCCCCGCATCAATCTCTATCGAATCGGAGTCCACTTTACGACCAGGGTTGCCAGTTTTAAGTTTCTTGTATCGCCGATTCTTCTCCCGAATCTTGTTTAATAGGCCCTTCTTATCTTTAGACTCGTAATCAGAGATCTTCTTGGCTTTCTCAGGGTCTTCCACGAATCCACTTGGTCTTAGTGAGGTATCAATGTATGGGCATTGTCCCCAGAAGTGGGTGCCGCCACAGAGGCATGGCTTTACGGGTCTGCCGTCGTTTCTGCCTCTTTTCTCAGTGTATGGAGATTCTTTGTTGTTGAACTTCGCCCCAAACGCTGCAGTTTGTATGTTCGCTTTCTTTGAATGTGTGGTGCGATGATATCGTAGGAAGTTTCCGACTAGGGTTGGAAGTTGACTATCGTGTGGCACAGGCTGATCACGATAGCGGCTCCATGTCTCTTCGGCCTTGAAGACATCGATAGCAATAGTGGCAGAGTAGCCTGAGTCGATCTGTTTGATGGCTCGAATGAAGTCTTTGTGAGGTCGAAAGCCGTGTGCTTCTGGCAAATCGAGTTGTTTCGTACGGCTGTATGCAGCGAGGAAGTCGTTACACCAGTCTTCGATGTTTGACTGACGAGCATGCAGCACTTTCGCTGACTCGTATGCTTTCTGGACTCGGTATTCTTGATCAGCGGTAGTAGGTGAGTACAGCTCTTGAAGAGTTTTGAGCTGCTGGTAGACCGTGTCTTTGTCTTTGATGTGGTATAGAAGGTCCTGGCTGATCGTTTTAGTGATGTGCGCTTCAACTTGACCTAACTTATCTCGCAAGCGTCTGTATTCCTTGATCTCCTTATAGTAGGTGTTGATATCTGCATTGTATTGAGCGAAAGCCTCTTGGCTAGGCTCGGTGGCAGGCGATCCATCTTCACTGATGTTGGCAGATGGACGAAGAGGTTTTTCTGGCTTCTGAAGAGGTTGGACAACTCGATCGGGATCGATGTACTCCCAAACGTCCCCTGATTCAGCTATTCTCTTGATGATGAAGATCCAGAGCTCCCAGTTGTTGCGGCCTTGGAGGATAATGTCTGAACTAACAGAGTGGGTCGACATAATAGTAGTGATCGGAGGTTAATGTAACAGAAGTAATAGAACGGATTAGTCCGGGCTCATAACTGTAAGCATAGGGTGGTAGTAGTATAAGGTCACATGAATGAGTGTATCCTTCTGTGTATGTACAAATGTGTGATCTGAGCTCTTAAGTAGTCGGACGCATTAGTCATGCCTGCAGAGCAGTCATGTGATGTGGTCCTAGGCTTACAGCAACCAAGCAAGACCAAGCTCGTTC